CTATCTAGCTCTCGAGATGTTGCATAGCGGACGCATTCTGAGGGTTTTGAAAACGTTTACGAGAGAAGTGAGGTTTAGCAATCAGATGGCACGGAAATTTTCCTCAAGATATCCTTGGAGCAGATTTCTCGTGAAGTATAATACAATCTATAAAAAACAACAGCAACAAAAAAAACAAGTTTGGTTACAATTGAATTTTTAAAAGTAGGGAACACAAAGAGGCAATAAAACAGAAGCTGGAAGCTCCCCGCAGCGGCGAGAGCTATTGAATACTAAGTAAAGCATGTACCCTGACTTCTCTTGAAAGGCTTTTGACAAGCAACTTATATTTGTAGGTTTTCACATTCCGTCCTAGAATATCTTATATGTAGCACCCAACAACGCCATATCGCTTTTTAAGGATGCTCGCGAGAGTGATGCCGGCTCATATTCATGCGTCGTTGACAACATTGCCGGCAGAGAAATAAGTGTTGCGAAACTCGTAGTGGGTAGTGAGTTTATTCAGCAGCATTGAACAATGTTTACCTAATAATCTGAGTTACTCTTAAAGGTGTTCCATCGATTGTTCCATCGTCACAAACTGTCAGTGTCAACATCGAAGAGGAGGTTCGTGATCACAGAGTTCTTCGCTTACAGAAACCAAGAACGAATTTTCGTTAGATCGATCAATCTCTTTCAGGTCATTCTACATTGTAAAGCAATTGGCTATCCATCACCAAATATCACTTGGCTACGCAACGGAGTTTTGCTTGACTCGCACAACCATTCTCGCTACACAGTCCTCCCTGATGGTCATCTGCTTATCACAAGTCAGAATTTCACTCGACAACCTGAATTTTCGAAGGGTCAAGATTGTGACTCAGCAAATTTAGATGCACAGCTTGAAGATCAGACCACCTTCACATGCATTGCAAAAAATGAATATGGCGCCCAGTCGAAAACCACATCAGTGGTTATCTCTGGATTAGGTAGAGTTTTGCGAACTAGACAAAGGATGAGTTTGCTCAGAAGTTCAACTTGATCTTAACAGTTTCTCCTGTGCTGGGCCATGTGCCACCGGAAGAGCAGCTCATAGAGGGTGAAGATCTGCGACTTTCGTGCGTGATCGTACTTGGAACTCCAAGGCCGCAAATCAAATGGTTCAGAGACGGAGCTCCGATAAAGCCTAGTTCATCACTCATTGTAAGTTACTCATGATTTGTTATATATCACTCGTCATGCGTTCTTAGCGAGAATATTTATTTCTCATATATTTATTATAAATGCATACATCAATGTGCAAATGCTTGATATAAATAATTTCAAACGAAAAGAAGGGTAAAAATGGTTGAACTATCGTCACAACAAAGCAAAATATCAGTTTGTCCAAAAGTCCTTTCGCATTCACTTCATCATCTTGCAGGATTTTAGGTTTGAAACATTCACTGCAAGACGTTTAGAAACGGTGGCAATCGCTCATTCCAGAGCATAATCGCCGTAGCAATTCACAGCGACTGTAGCATGAAAATCGTCTTTTGGGTAGAACTTGTTCGAGTGCAAATGCTTTTATAGAATAAGAAAATGCGTCGATGGAAGCGACGCGGCAAGAGGCCTAAGTGTTGCAAGAATCTAGATTTCACACCATGACAAATATTTAGTTGCTGAAGTTCACATTCTTGACAAAAAACTACAAACCTAGCCGTTCTCTTTCACTGAATGCAGAATGTATTCTGAATTCGATTGGAAAGAGTCGTTGGTGCTATGCGCAGAAATCGGCAGAGCTCTTCATTGTTATCAGAGTGCAATAGCCGTTCCTCAAAGTTAAATGGAATGGAACTATGGCGGAAAAACATTTCATGATCTAAGTGACCACTGACTCACAAGAACCTTTCGGTTTACCGCCTGTCTCTTGTTTGATCCGAAAAATATGCTGGTGTTAACAAGAAGTGAATTCTTCACCTTGACCACACCAGAACCTGCCGCTGATTTAGACGCGTAGAACAAAGGATTTTTACAACGATAGTTGCACTGCAACGTGGGTCAGGGTGTTGAAGCTGTGAAAGTTTACCTCCTGAAAGCTGTTACAAACGAACTCCACTGCTATTATTGAACAATTTGCGAGAAGTTTATTTGCGAGAAGACTTTCCGACAACCTAATAAGCTCAACCTTTTACCAGTGGATTTTGTCCCTTTCTAGCTCACTTCATTGAAGAAATATTAGGCTAACCAAGTTGTCTCAAAATCGACATCTTCTTCCTCGATGACGTCCATGAATTCTGTAGAGGAGATAATTGCAGTTTTCCATGTTTTACATTGCACAGACAACTAGTTGTCTAAGCATGGGAAGAAAGAAGATCATGACGGTGTACTCTTTTGATTTGGTGAATCAGAAAAATAATAAAATTAATCTAATTCCAAAATCGAGTGGTTCGAAAATTAAGGACTTAAATGGATGCACAAAACATATTGCATTGTCTACCGACCGGACGGAATGACATACAAAGGTTTCGTGCGTAGGCTGCCGCTGTTGACAGAAGCTTTAGTGTGAAATATTCCTTCCCCTTCCCCCCCCCCATGAGCGGAAGCAGCTTCCTTCATGACTTAAGCCGTTTGGACACGGTGAGCACCCGAAGGAAGCGTGAATTATGATGTTCCTGCCGTAGTCACGTACAATGCGCGTCGCATCGACGCGATTTCTGCAGTAACAATCCTATAGGTTATGCCACAATGAGGCTACCCCGCTGTCCAGGGCAGCAATCCAAAAATGGATGTGTCGAGCTCAAAGAGGCCTACCACTGTTGCTCCAGCCTGATGCTGTTACATATTTCTACGATCAGTCACCTCATGAATTGCGTCCAGAAGACAGTAGCTCTGACTACTAGCGTTTCAGCTGACATCGCAGTGATACGCGATACGTGAAGAAGTCCCTTGGGTTCGAACCGTGCATCATCTCGCCGCGGAAAAATTGCCTCATTTCGCTGGTGTAGAAGGATATTATAAAGTTTTTTGATTGACTAAAATGTGCTTTTCAATCCCCAATCATTCGATTCGAGCTTTGCAAAGTGAATTCCGTCTCGATTGGGAGATGAGTGACTTTTTTTGTCCCCGCCTGTATCTGCATGCAGATATCCAACCATGCAACGAAACGAAGGCTGAAGGCGGACGTGTACAGGTAGATCTAACTCACATATGCACTACACTCCTGGATGGCACCGTACTGACTTTGTCTTTCAAAAAAGCAACGTCTCAAATCATTACATCTCTGCCGTGTCAGAACTTTTTCGACATCGAGCCACCATATGGGGAGCTGTAAACTTGTTTGGCAGAAAAAGGAGCTAGATATAATTACGCGGAAATGTTGCACAACCTAGAAGAAGCCACGAAAATGTCCTCTCTGTCAACTCAGCTGACTTTTTGCTATTTTGGTCTGTCCTAAAACTCCTGCCCATTTGTTATTGTCGTTTTCAAATCCACTTTTTACTGGCCCAGTCAGCAATTTACAATCATATGCCTCATCATTGCCATCAAAATGTGGTCTTTCAAAAGCTGACTTGTGGATACCGTTTGCCTGGAGATCCTGAGCTCTCGAGGCAAAAAACTTAACAACACGTTGGCGACGATGTCGGTCAATGCTGACCGACAGGCAGTCTGTCACATGGGACGATGTCGGTCAATGGTGACCGACAGCTTGAAAGTAAGCAAACTTAGATGGAACCCGCGACTTTTCTATTTCAACGTTTACTTCAGTGTCCTAACTTACTACACTTGTCTGCGAATTATGATCTTTCTAATTCCTGGGAGTTTTATTCTGAATTAGTTATCAGTGGCAGAAACGCGCTGTCAATTGAATCACAACCACAAAGTTCCCACCGTCAGCAAACTGGAAATCTCACTAAAATTGTTCATATCGACCTTTACTAATTAGGTCACCGTCAGTAGAATGTCCATTTCTAGCCTTAGGTTCCCATGATGGTCAAGTAGGCTCAGTCTTACTCATAGGCAGGACAAAAGTACCTATCCAGTCCATCAACTGCCAAATATTTCACAAACAATTTTTTGACCTTGAAATGACTCGTTTAAATCACTTATTCGATCATGAAGAACAAGATAACAGTCAAACAAAAGCTCATTCCGTCAGGTACGCAAAGTTTTTTGCGTCATTCTTGAGTGAAAAATTCGTAGAAGATTTCAGATGTGATCAGGATACCAGTACCATCTAAAGGAAAGCTCATATTAATAATAAAAATGAAGAATGCGTGAAATTGCCTTCAGAACCTATTCTAACCTGAGGTTTGAAAATGCCAGGCGATGTCACTGAAATTTCACCCAGCATTCAGTAGTAACAACTTTTCCTTGTTTCTAAACGTGTCTGGAGTACTCTAGTCAAAGGCATTTTGTGCATTTCGAGATTTTACAGAGCTACAAAATAAGTTTTGCCCTGTTGTTACCGGCGCTTTGCATGCAAAAAACGCCTCGTCCCATGCGCGCGACAAGGAAAAAATCGCTCGTCGTCAACGTGTTAAAAAATTCGTTTCTTCGAATAGTCCGAAACATAAAACTCTCCTTCTTTCAATTAAACCAGCCGCAACAGAAGCAGACGTACTATCTGTTTGGGCCTGGATGCTGCTGCACAGCCATTATCGAGCCCCAGCACATCCTCACAGAGGGACTTTTTGCTGAACCATCTTCAAAATTCCTTGACGGTCGTTGCTTGGATGAAGTGAACTTTGCAATGTTTTCCAAGCATAGTGCCGGTGGAGCCATCAGTTTGCCCATATTATCGTTCAACAATAGCAGTGCAGTTCGTTGGTAGGAGCTATCAGTGAACGAATCGCTTGCAGCTTTACCAACTCCGAAAGTTGCCTCTCAAGTTGCAGTGCTGGAATGGACGTCGGAATCTCTGGTTCTACGCGTCTGAGCCAGTGGCGCTCGCGGGTGTGGTTTACTTGAGGAACCACTCCTTGCTACCACCAACAAAGTAGTCGGGTCAAACAAGATACAGCCGGTAAATCAAAATGTTCATGCAAAATTTCTGATGGCGGTTGTCACCCAGATCACGAAATCTCCTTTTCCATAATTTTTTTCTTTTGAGGAGCTATTGAGGAATGGCTATTGTGTTCTGATGACTGTGGAAAAGCTGTGTCAGTTACCGTGCATTGCACCAGAGACTGTTTCCAAACAACTCCAGAAGACACTCGTCACTCAGGGTAACAAGCCGACCGACTTTGGGCTTTTTTCTCGAGTTTCTGGACATCGGCAACCAAATGTTTGCCATGTCGTGAAAGACACTCTGGAGGTCCATCGCAAGACGTAGGGCTCTTGCCGCATCGCTTCCACTGACGCGTTTTCTGGGTTTAGAATCAAGAGTAGCCAAATATGCTTTCAGTCAAAGTCGATTTTCTCAGCCATAATCGCTGCGAAATACCACGGCAGAAATGCTCTGAAGAGATCATTGACTAGGGTTTACATACGTTTTACAATGGATGTTCAAAAATTATCCCTGAAGATTTCACAACATACACATGGAAATGGGCAAAGACTTTTGGGACAATCTTTTGGGGCATATTATGCTAAAGGAATCCTGCGCGGAAAAATCATGATTCTATTTCAGCCATAAATCACTGGCTTGAGACTCATTATCCACGATAATAGTGAAAAGAACTGAAGTATTGCTTTCGTTTTGGTAAAAATTCGAAAAATCGAAAGGGCGCGTTCAAAGTGCCCACGGACGTCTTTCACAAATGCTGGCGACGGGGATGCTTCCACTTGGTTCTTGGAGTGCCTTCACTAGAAACTCTTTCTGGCCTTCTGCTTTATTGCATTCACATCTCAC